TTAGTGTTTCATTGTTTTAGTGTTTTGGTGTTTTAGTGTTTCATTGTTTTATTGTTTTGGTGTTTCGGGTGTTTTAGTGTTTTGGTGTTTGTGTTTTTGGTGTTTAAGTGTTTCAATGCAAAAATAGATATATATTCATGATTGATTCAATTAGTTGAAATATTGATTTTAGTTACTGTAAATGTTTTTTGAGTGCTCGCCTCCCCTAGTGTTACGCCACCGATGGCAGTCCACTCATTCGAAAACCCTATTGGGTGTTGTTGTTTGCTTGTTCTTTTTACACCAAGCCGTTTGTACCGAAGTCAATAGATTTCCTGAATATTTTTTAAAAAATATATATTCTTGCAAGTACACTTCAAGACTTAGCAATTCAATTTTTTTATGCGCAGTTAGACCTCTTTCCCCCCAAAAAGGCCGTCTATTTTTACCAGCTCCCACAACCAATACATATGTCACAATACTGCCCTTCAGATGTTCGTTATTAGGGACGGGTACAATGTCGGTATGTCTCTGTGCTAAGCTTCCCGCAACAACAACACAATCTTCAGAAAGAAAGAAAAAAACAAGACCACTCTCATTCTCAAGATGGGGTTGGCGCTCAAGCAGATCATTCTGGGTGACAGCTGCGAGACGGCTGCTATGCATAAAAACATTGTGTGGTGAAATGAAACGGGATGCGAGTGGTAATGGGAAGGAGAGGACACGACGGAGAAAAAATGTCCATGGATTGGTGTGGAACTCATTGAGACAAGATCCGCCTCTCTGAAGAGATTCTCTTTGATTCCAAAACGGTGCAGGAGAAGACATCGGAGACGGGATGTGCATGCTGTGTGACAATCCCCCTTGATTTATGCAAGGTGCGCACGATTCGGTGTTCTTTTAAAGTAGCTCTCCTTGCTAATAGCGAGGCTGGAAGTAGGGCATCATAGAAAGCGTGGCTAGAAGTAGAGCCTCACAGAAAGCGTGGCTGGAAGTAGGGTCTCATTGATAGCTTGGCTAGAAGTAGGGCCTCATAGATAGCTTGGCTGGAAGCAGGGCATCATAAATAGCTTGGCTGGAAGTAGGGCCTCATTGATAGCTTGGCTGAAAGCAGGGCATCATAGATAGCTTGGCTGGAAGTAGGACCTCATTGATAGCTTGGCTGAAAGCAGGGCATCATAGATAGCTTGGCTGGAAGTAGGACCTCATTGATAGCTTGGCTCGAAGTAGGGTCTCATTGATAGCTTGGCTGGAAATAGCGCCTAATAAATGGCTTTGCTGGAAGTAGGGCCTCATAGATAGCTTGGCTGGAAGTAGGACCAAATAGATAGCTTGGCTGGAAGCAGGGCATCATAAATAGCTTGGCTGGAAGTAGGGCCTCATTGATAGCTTGGCTGAAAGCAGGGCATCATAGATAGCTTGGCTGGAAGTAGGACCTCATTGATAGCTTGGCTGAAAGCAGGGCATCATAGATAGCTTGGCTGGAAGTAGGACCTCATTGATAGCTTGGCTCGAAGTAGGGTCTCATTGATAGCTTGGCTGGAAATAGCGCCTAATAAATGGCTTTGCTGGAAGTAGGGCCTCATAGATAGCTTGGCTGGAAGTAGGACCAAATAGATAGCTTGGCTGGAAGCAGGGCATCATAAATAGCTTGGCTGGAAGTAGGGCCTCATTGATAGCTTGGCTGAAAGCAGGGCATCATAGATAGCTTGGCTGGAAGTAGGACCTCATTGATAGCTTGGCTCGAAGTAGGGTCTCATTGATAGCTTGGCTGGAAATAGCGCCTAATAAATGGCTTTGCTGGAAGTAGGGCCTCATAGATAGCTTGGCTGGAAGTAGGACCAAATAGATAGCTTGGCTGGAAATATGGCCTCATAGATAGCTTGGCTGGAAGTAGGGCCCTGTACATAGCTTGGCTGGAAGTAGGGCCTCATTGATAGCTTGGCTGGAAGTAGCGCCTAATAAATAGCTTTGCTGGAAGTAGCGCCTAATAGCTTTGCTGGAAGTAGGGCCTCATAGATAGCTTGGCTGGAAGTAGGGCCTCATACATAGCTTGGCTGGAAGTCGGGCCTCATTGATAGCTTGGATGGAAGTATTCTGATGGATAGCTTTACTGGAAGTAGGGCCCAATAGATAGCTTGGCTGGAAGTATGGGCCTAGAAATTTGGTATGGTTTTCTTTGAAGAAGGATCAAAGCAAAATTTGTTTGTGGGTGAGGGCTTGTAGCGTGGTATAGAAAATGTGGCAAGTACCGAAGGAGATGTGTCAGTGAAAGCTAGACGGATAAGTCTAAGTGTGTGTGTATCAATTACTCGAGCTAATTGATACACCAAGCGACAAGACCAGGGATGTCCAACCCACGACAAGGGTGGCCAACACGAGGCCCGTATACAGACCGGCACGTTAAATATTGTGACTCGCCGGATGCATCACATATCAACTTTTTTCTTCATTCATCTGTGATGGTAAAGTAAATTCAGGTATACCCTAACGAGCGGCACTTTTCAAGGACGGAAAATGCCAGAGAAAAAAATAAAGGAAACAATTATCCACAAAAAAATTGAGAGAAAAAGTGAAATGACCCCCCTCACTGCCTTTGTATCTATTTAGAAGATTAAGTGTACCCTTACCATAATGCAGAAAAATGTTCAAAAGTGACGACAGCAAATTTTCTTCGCTAAATTGTGTGGATTACATTAATTTCATTAATAATTTATAAAATTAAAATGATGGCCACTTCCATCAAAAGATGTCTGCCGTGTCACAGAATCTTTAACGTCTGATGTAGGTATCTCTATTTATTGAGTTGAAGTATATGAAAATACTCTTAACAGTATTTAGTTAATAAAATATATATATATATAGCAGTGTTTTTCCTTAAAGTTGTATTCGTGTAAAACATCGCTTTTAGAACTTATTGAGACTGGGGTGGTTGGAACAGACCACTCCCATGGAATAGACCACGTCCCATGGAACAGACCACTCCCATGGAACAGACCACTCCCATGGAATAGACCACGTCCCATGGAACAGACCACTCCCATGGAATAGACCACGTCCCATAAAACAGACCACTCCCATAGCACTGACAACTCCCATGGAACAGACCAGACTCAGACCACTCCCATAGCACAGACAACTCCCATTAGATCAGAACCACTCCCATAAAACAGACAACTCCCATAGAATAGACCACTCCCATTGAACAGACCATTCCCGTTGAACAGACTATTCTAAGGTTGCCTTACAAACTTTAGTGCAAAGAGGAAATATATTAGCACCTCATTCTTATTCAGTCTTTAAATGGGCCATCGATGTATAACGCACTCGCCGAGGCTTGAGGAGGTGGTAGAACGAGTACAAAAAGGGGCGTAGAATTAATGGAACCCGGGGTGGGGCAAGATTTTTTCCTCTTCCACAAAAAAACTCTACATTTTGGCCTAAAATGTCACCCCTCATTGTAAAGAAGAAAGTACCGCTATAAAAATAAAGTTATAGTCCTCAAGACCTGATTTTCTCAAGTTTATAAAATAAATTTAAAACTGTCAGCCGTCACCCACCACACAGCTACATAGGCCTATTCTACACTTGTAGGTATAAAATCCTGCCACCCCCCAATTTTAAAAAAAAATTAAAATATAGAATAATGAAATTAGAAAATTAATAAGAATTGTCACTCTGATAAAACCTTTGTCTTAATTCTATCTTTATATTTCCACTAGTTTTATCCATCAGCCAAGTTTAATCCATGCAATGAGAACATTCTAAATCATAAGACCAAAGACAGAGGAATAAAGTTTCAAAGAAAAGTTTAATTCCAAACTGAATGAATGTTTAATGTTGTAAAGAAAAAATAAAAACCCCTCTAGTATCACTGACTGAAATAAGGAGACCTCCAAGCATTAGAGCATTGAGAGTCCAAAAAGTCAGTACATAGTTAGTGCATAGTGATAACAAAAGTAGTGATCTCTACAAAGAAATCCTCCTCAGTTTAGGTTTAAACTTAAACCCATCAACTGCTTTCAATCCATCATTGTCAATTTAAAGGCTCATTCATATATTCAAAGATTAACTTATAATTACGGATTAGAACAGTTTAAATTTATACTTGTGTTCCAGATTTAGGTTGTTTTTTTTACATACAAAAAAAAAAAAACTGAATGTATTTACATTTGAACAGCCTTGTCTCTATCATTTGGGGTTTGTATTAATTCTTTTAAACAATTACAATATTGACATAGTCCATTATTAAGTCACAAAAAATGTTAGCATGACTAAAATTAGCTATTTAAAATGTTAAATTAAAATGATTTATCAAATTATTTTCTTGAGCTATGTAATCAACATTGGATATCATGGCTGGGCCGGGTGGGGATCTGAAAACACAGAAATGCCAAGTTTGACACATTCAGACCTGACCAATGGAATGGAACCGGGTGAGGATGTTTTAAAAAAATGCTAGGTACATTTTTTTAAACAAAATATTTTTTACATTGGTTTAAGGAAAATAAGATTACAGCCAAAACCAGACCAGCAACACTGGTTTCACTTCTTTTTTATTTTTTTATGTTAGGTCTTTTTATGTTAGGTTTAGAGGCTATTAGTGTTATAAAGATTTCAAAATAGCCAGGACACATTATTATTAATGTAATTATTATTATACTAAATACTTAAAATCCATGTGTACTCAGACTGCACCCAGTTCAGCCCTATTGCATACCAACATGTGTAATTATTATTAGATACTAAATACTTAAAATCCATGTGTACCAAAGTGACATTGTCATGGAAGCTACCAGGAAATTGATGGGGAAAAAAACATAAAAGCTTTAAAAAATGTTTTAAATATTCTTAGGACTGTAGCTTGATAGAATTAAAGGCATAATCAAAGCGATAATAAAAAAAAATTTAATTAAAAAATAAATACAATTTCAATTGTGGTCCAAAGTAGAAATGGACAATTTTAAAAATTAACTTTTATTTTAACATTTTACAACTTCATAATTATATTCCTCAATCAATCCATGTTATTTGTCAAAAATTCTCAAACTGGTGGCATATTAAAAAATCCAATACAAGGTAATGTCTCTAAGATCATAGTAATAGGAATGTCTTTCTAAGTGATACCTAATGAGAGAAAGATGCCTGGTATTTTAGTACTGTATCTAAACTTAGTGTGCAGTTAGCAGATAAAATAGACTTTCATCGTCAGAATTTCATCATTGGACTGAAAGAAAATAACACCACACACCACTATTACTATCATCAGAAACTGAAAAGAGTTTGTATCGGTACTTAGAGATGAAAAAGAAAAATATCATTCATCCCCAAAAGAAAACAAATTACTCAACTTCCCTCACTGTAATAAAAAATGTAAAACCAATTTGTTGCAAATCATACCCAACATTATAAAATGTTGAATTAAATACCATACATCTTGGTTGTGTTTTCTCGGCATGCTTTTAAGACTGCATCTACTGGGATTCCTTTGTACTCAGCAACTTTCTCTGCAGTACAAAGTGCTAGTCCAGGATAAGAGCAACTTGTCAACATCTGTTGAATTCAAATATGTTTTTAAAACTTTATACTCAATAAATGTTCATCAGGGGAAAAATTTAAAAGTTTGCAGTATGCATTAATGTGATAATAAAATCTTGATCAACTAAATTTTAACAAGGAAAGTGACCCTGAGCCAAAATATTAAAAGACTAGCAGAGGTATTTTCTCTCACTGGGTAAATATATTGTATTATATGCACTAACCATTTCACATCCCAAACAATTTCCTTGGACCTACCCGGATCTCTGGATCCAGGCATTTCCCATGGCCGGAAATGGGTTTCTTCCACCCTACACATCTCGGGAACAGATCAATCAAAAAACATTTTCACAACATCCTTCATAAGAACAAACATTCACCACTTATGACAAACAACACCACATTACAGCAATAGGATTAACAATTTTTCAGATTGCATTATCCCCATCTGGTCACTGGATGTGCAGTATTTATCTAGATATTTGCCTTGATTGTAGCACAGAAGTTGCAAATGTTTTTACTATGTTTGTTTGCACATTGAGTATATTAATATTTTTTTTAAAGACTGGTAGTTCTGATCACTGACGTTAAACTCTGAGTTTAAGGTAACTGTCATTTGTGAAATCAACACTTTACTTAATATACATTCCTAACTAACTGAACTCATTGAATCTGCTCTAGCTGACTAATTGAAGCAACTTATTCTTCATAAATCATAATTCTGTGTACAAAGTAACTAAAGGCATTTTGCAGTACCAGTAAATAGAGTGAGATAAAAATAAGAAAGGTTTTTTTCAATACTCCTAGTGCCTGTACTCCATTAGTATCTATACTGCATAACAATCTAATGTCTACATGTGAATACATTGATACACTCAGTACAGTGGCGTTGCTAGGGTTAGTGAAGCCAGGATTGGGCCAAGCTATCTGCTGCCTCCTCCCCGACTAAAAACCCAGGAAATTTGCAGACAATGCCGTCCTTGAATCAACAGAATTCTGAAAAGAAGTGCCAACCAAGCCAGACCCCCCCCCTCCCACTCTGCACCACCCTCTACCAGTAATTCAGTTAATTACCTTCACTGAAGTTCTCGGAACAAAGTAAGGTGCATCAGTCTCTAACAAAAGTCTGTCAAGAGGAATATGCTGTGCAGTGTTGGCTGCTTCACGTGCAGATAAGTATGTAATGAGAGGTGTCAAACCCAAGAAGAGATTGGGAAAAGGAGCCAACCAGCGCCATGCTACATGAATGTCACGTGTGAAGCAGTGAGCATGTATTTTGTGACTTCGTGGCACAATCTGTTCAAAAAAGAGTTGTTTTTTTAAAATTACATTGTGTTCTCTAAGAAAACCTTGCCATTGAAGAAATATTGAAACAAAGATAAAAAGAAACATTTTGATCATTAGGTTGGTTAACTAAAAATGTTCCCAATAAATTATAAATACTCCAATAATAAGAACAGATATTCTAAAACCTTTATTTCTTGAAATCATTCTTTTCAAATTTGCGCATGAAACTTTCTAATTTTTTTTAAAGAGCATTCAACTTTAGTAGACTGATTCTCCGGCTATTAAATTTTTGTTCCAGATTTCATTTAAAACTCTTAATTTCTTTACATTTAGAAAAATCATTTCACATTAGTGGATGCATAAAAACAAGAAGAAATAACTATACTTCTATATCAGTTCAATCAAATAACTATACATAGTTTAGGATTTCATGGTTAATTCTTTTAATATTTGTCTTGTGCTTCTTTTTTTAGATATTAACCTTTAGGTGGATAAAATGTATTTTTTCTAACACCAGAAACTTTAAAAGATATCGAATCAGAAATACCTCTGTTAGAATGTCAAGACAGTCCTCATCAGCATCCCTGCAGTGTATAACCAAGGGAAGGTTCATTTCCAAGGCTAGGACTAACTGTTTTCTAAAAACATTCTTCTGAACATCAGCATGTTGTTTAAACCTATAAACAAAAATTTTAATTTGAAATAATTGCTATTAAAATTTTCAGTACCTGCACAATTTACTAGTTATTGGAACAAAATTTTATCTTTCATGTGAAAATGAACAAGTGGAGAATGGACTTATGAGTTTTAAAGACTTAGTTAGCCCCAGTTGTTTCTCTTTTACCATAATCAAATACTTTTACAGATTGAAGATGCACGTTCTTTTGATCTTTAGAACAGCTCCTTTTTATTTAGCATCAATAAATTCTTAAATGACAAATAACCCTTAAAATTATACTTTAAACTAGGTGGGTGGTGGTGGTGTTTGTGTGTGTTGTGTGGTGGTGTGTGTGTTTCCTGGTAACTGATATGAATATAGATCTTGTATAATTTTATTAAGGTAAAGCAGATAAAGCAGATGCAATCAGCAGTAAAATATTTTTTTTTTCCCTTTACTAATAATTTTATTAACCCACAATGAGAGTCTCATTTGATCACTTGCTTACGACTCATTTTATTGATTCTTGCTAAATTTAAAGCTTTAGTTTTTTACTTTGTACATAAATCTGGCAATTTTCATATTTAAAAAATCTTACATTCCAGAGTAGTCCAAGCCAATCTCTCCAAGGGCAACAACTTGAGGATGCCTAAGAAACCTTCTTAAGCCAATTTCATGTAACTCAGTAAATTCTGAGGCATTTTTTGGATGGCATCCAAATGCAAACCAAACACCACCTTCGTCAGTCAAAAGTTTCACTATATTGTCCTTTGGGTCTGAAGTATAAAAGTAAACAAGACTGTGTAGCCATCTTAGCAAAAAGGAGAATGACAATCTACTGCCTAAAAAATACCCTGATCCATATCTTAGCAGCTTTGTGGGATTTTAATCTATTTACATTTGTGGTAATTCTAGATTTTGAGCATCTATTAACACTATTAACAGCTGAAATATCTATAAATAAATTTGGGCATGTTACAAATATCCCATAACTTTAGAAACAACTGGGTTACAACAATTCACTCACTCTCTGCATAGAATGTTTGTGGATTACAAAACACAGCAATACATCCTTCATAGTTAGCAGGAAAAAAATTTGAATGGTCCTCTTTGAACTTTTTGTAGGCAACATCTTTTAAACCTAACTGCTTGTATAGGAAGTCTATATGGCAATGGCTGTCAATAAATTTGTGCGCATATAATTTACTTCTCCTTGCAAAGTCTGTTGCCCATGCAGAGTCTTTAATAACTTCATTAAACTTTGACATTTGGGAGGCATTTGGGTCAGCACACCGACTCTTAAATATATGTTGTAAAAGAAAACTTCTGTCTAGAACACCGAGCTCTCTGGGTGATTTTCGTTCGTAACAGCTTTCTGAATGATTTAAAGTTAAATATTTCAAAAAGTTTTCAAAAATGAGATTAGGGCAGACCTGCACAACTCAAAATGTAAGGTGGGCCGTAATACTTTATGAAAAACTTGCGCGGGCCGTAATACTTAATAAAAAACGTGTGCGGGCCGAAAGATATTAGGACAGGGGCTAAAGCTATTAAGAAAATAATAACAAAAAAGAATATTTCGTGACTTTGCGGGTGGCCAAGTATGTTGTGCAGGCCTGGATTAGGGAATACATAATCAGAATACTAACAATCCTTAAAAGTGTTCAGTAATTATTTCAGTTCTCGCCTCACCCTGAATTACACTGCCCAAACTTTGTTGGTTAAATATACTTCCTAATCATATAGGCCTATTCTGAGCTTGCAATTTTCCTTTTGTGATTGAGTGAGATCCCAAATATTCCTCATTAAGTTGATGTAATGAAATAATTGAAATCCTTTCAAACATTTTTACATCCTTTCCCCTTGATATATTAAATGCATTTAATGGTGACCCCATCACGACACAATGACTCAAGGTTTACAAAATGTTAAAAATGTTTCTCCTATAAAATATTTACCTATTTCCTTGTGTATGTCATTAGTTTCAGAGTAGCAGCAAGATGTTAACGTGCTATCCTCAGAACATAATGTCTGTTGGTTGTTTTTATCCATACCTGACCTATCCTTTATAATCATAGAACCAACAGTGGTCATGTTTGACAAGGGTAATGACCATCTTCTCTTATGGTTCTGCTCAGATGAACTCAATAATTCACAGTGGTCCCTCCAGTAAGGCCTTGCATTCAAAGGTTCGCCCCTTTCCCTCCAGTTAAGACTATCAGAATCCTTAAATTTTGACAGTTTAGATGCAGCCATGTTGTGAAACTGTTTAGAATACCATGTTCCTCCATGTGAGCTGTCAGGATTTTGTGAACTATACTGCACACTTGTTTTATTTAAACTGTTAGCTTCAGTAGATTGAATCCCATGTCTACCTTGTAGGCCAACATATTTCTTGTTCTCTGACCAAGACTGTACAGTTTTCTTTGAATTCACATGAGCATATTCACTTCCATCGGAGGTGGTGAGGCTTCCTCCCTCATAAGGGTTCCTAGCTAAAGGATCCTGACACAGTGAAGACTTTTGTGTCCAGTCATTGGTAAGATGTTCTGGTGTCAAAAAATTGCTGATTGAGTATGGATGAAATTTACCACCTTTTGACTTCTCTGACCTCTTTGGGGTTAGAACAGAAACAGGTGGAGACAGAGGCTCAGATCCACTATCATTAAGATCAACCTGAGAGTTTCCACTTTCATTAAGTTCAAAAAACATGTCTGTTAAGCTGTGACATCCGCCTTGTTTTTTTAATCCTTCACAAGCATCATTTTGCGCAGCTTTGTAATCAACACTGAAAGAAAAAATATATGCCTATGTTAGGTCTTGCTTTAGGTGTTTGGAAAAATATTAGTGATTTGGGGTTTAATTAAAAATGAGCTTTTGCCTTTTTATGCTTGTTGCTGTCAAATCAAAAGTTTTAATACAAATGTATAATAAAACAAAATTTAATTAATACTAGTGATGGAACCATTAATCGGAATCGTATCGGAATAATCAAAATATCGGGATTTTTCCAAAGCATCTGGAATCGGTATCGGAGCTGAATAATTCAGACCCGATTCCGATACCAAAACGACTCTTAACTGATTAACTGCCGTAAGCAGCAAGTATTAAAATTAGAACAGAACAGAAATATCAAGGTATCTAACATTTAAACTGATTGCAAACGATGAGAATCCTCTTAGCTGGTGGAAAGCGAACAAAGAAGAACTTCCAAGTTTGGCTCTCCTCTCAAGAAAGTATTTATGTGCTCCGCCTTCTTCAGTAGAAAGCGAGAGAATTTTTAGTGTAGGTGGCAATATATACTCGCCACAGAGAAAATGGTTAGAACCAACAACTGGAGAGATGCTTATGTTTTTGCACTATAATTTGCGAGTGCTTCAATTTGACTATGATTAAATGCATATTCTTACTATCAAGTACTATCAACTAATTGACTTGAATGAAGTTTATTTATATTATTTTGAACTAAATACTACAATGTAGTAATTATAATTAATGTTTTATTTTTTGTAGTTTGGAACTAAACAATGATTAAAATACTTATACCTTTTCTCAAATTTTTTTATATAAAATGTTATTTTGTGAAGGTAAACATTTCCTATTTTGTAAGTACAGGAATAATAATTTCATATTTAATTTATAGTTTTTATATACACATTTTGAAATTTTTATCAAAGACATTAAAATGGAATTATTGATAGATGTGTTTATATAAAACCTTTCCAAGACATTGTTCTCCAGCATGTTTTAAAGCGTCAATAGCAAGTTAATAAAATATTTAATAATCAATTCTCAACTTTTATATTAATTAAATATGTTAATACCTGGGCACAGTAATACATATATGTAATGATAGCCAGGAATCGGAATCATATCGGAATCATTAAAAATGTTGGTATCGTCCCATCACTAATTAATACATATTGCTTTGTCACTGAATTATGAGATGTAATGTCAATCATGTGAGGAAATATCTATATTTATCATTTTAAAAATAAGCATTGTCGTAGGTTACCTTTCCTGGCTTGAATAAGCAAAAAATACTTTCAGACATTTCATTTTTTGATATGTGGGAGAATTTTTAAAAATAAAACTTAAAAGAACTTCATCATCATCAATAAAAGTACAGCCCATGTAGGGCTCTGGCCTGTTTCATCACATTCTTCCATTCAGAGTGATCCATTGCTTTTTGTCTCCATATGCTGGACCCCCAGCTGAAACACCCTAAGTCTGTCTCTACATCATTTCCTCTCAGTCTTGATTGACTGGTGAGCCGTTGCCATCTGCCCATTGGTTTCTGTCTGTAAAACTAATTCTGCTCCTCTTTAATCTGGCATCCTTTCAACGTGTCCTGTCCAACACGACCTGTCTTTTTAACTGCCAGGTCTTTGTTTTTCTGCAAGAGCTTCACTTTGCGCATCCTCTGCCTTTAGGACTCCTATTTTTGCAGCAGTTTACAATCGGGGATGGTCATCAGGGATAGTCTCCCATTGGCTTATTTTGATGTTGTCTACCTTTATGACTTCAGAACATCTTTATTAACAGTTGAAATAGTTCAATATATCCTGCCCCATTAGCAAGTTTACCCCATACAGCAGATCCTTTGAAGTACAGCCTGCCTCCATTCTCTTTCTATGTTCTAGCCAACAAAGGAATCTCTTATTGAGAGTGGAAAACATATTGCATGTAATATTGGCAACCCTTCAAAGTGCAGTGCTCATCTCTCAAAGACAATACCCCTCCCTGTGATCAGATCGCCCATTCATATGTTCACACATGTTCACACGTGGGATCTTGCTTAGAAGTTATTTTTCCCCATTATTTATCTTTGGTAACATCCCTCTAACATCTCTTTCTTTTGATATTTTTTTTTGCTTTTCCCAATCATTTGTTTTTTATTACCGGAAATTTATACTATAAAAATTTTTTTCATGGAAAATTGTTCAATGGAAGTTTGTGTGAAATAAAATAATGGGGGGAAATATATAATTTTTTTTTTTAACATTTTCCCCATTTCTCACTCACACCTTCCCTTAAAATAATTAAAAAATAAATCTCCATTTAACAAATTTCATTTCAAACAAACTTCTGTTCAAACAAAATTCCGTCTAACAATTTTCTTTCAAACAAACTTCTTTCCTACAAATTTCCGGATATGCTATTTTTTTAGTAGTATTCTTTCTTGTTTCATTATATAATTGTCAGGTTTTTCTTGTTTTCCAGTGCATCATCAGCAACAAAGCCTTGTTTCTTTCTTCAGTAAACATGCTGCTTTCTGTGACTAACAAGTCTAAGCTCCCAGCATTCTGTGTCAAACCACCATACTCTTTTTTGTCTGTTTAAATTCTATTATTTCCTATGTGAGTTCTCACAATTGTTTTAGTCTTACCTATTGATAAATTATAATGATGTTGTTGTTGTTGGATGTTTCCCTGTTTTCATAGTTCTAGTTGGGTTTGTATCTGTTGATATGCCTAAGTAATTTAAAGATCTTTAACTTTGGGCTATTACGCAGTATTTCTCTTTCATTCTGCTTATTGTATATGTGGCATATTCTTTCATTATATTTAAATTTTTAGATTGAGATGAGCCAAGTCCCCATCTGCCCTTCTAAAGCTCTGTACATCCAATATATCTGAGCCCTGCCACTTACCAATGACCACTTGATCTATCTGGTTTAAGGTTATTCCATCTGGTGATATCCATGTCAGTTTATGTATTTACTTGTGTTGGAATATTGTGCTGCTAATCATCATTGCTTTTCCTATAGCAAAATCTTTTAGTCCTGCCTCATTGTCATGGCCCTCTTTGTGCAGACATTCCTTTCTAATAATTGTCCTGTAAGCAGGTTCTTTTCCAATTTTAGTGTTTAAGGGCTGTGTACTTGAACCAACACTCTTCTACATCTTCTCCTCAACGCTCTTTCAGAATGCCTTATTTTGATACCACGGGGTTGTGCCTCATCAAATATCCTTATTAGTGTTTCTGGAACTGTGGTGTACATATATCTTTGGCATGCACACCTTTTAACTAAAAAAATAGTATACCATTTCCCTTTAATTAAAAAAAAACAAAAAACTATACATCATTTAATTGCTTATGATTTAATGGCCTTACTCTTCCTTTTCTCCTTTGGATTCCATGTTAGGGATTGTCTAGTGATGTTATCTGGGGTTTACAAGGAGTTTTTTCAACCCAACTCTATATTTCCTTATGACTCCTTCAGCAATAAGCTCTAGGTATATCCTTTCCTGTAAGTCTTTTTGGTGATGATGTTGGGCCACTGAAAACCTGTAACTTAGGTTATTTTCTATTTCATAAACTCAGCTTTTTGTCATATTATCCGCTCTTTTATTCTAATTCTTCCCATCCTAATTATTTTTTTTTGTCTAGCTTTGAAACAAAGAAAGAAAAGAAAAACCTTTGATGAATCATATCCTGGGGGAGGTGTGAGTCAACTTTGATAACATTGGCATCAGACAAGCTCATATCTTGTGTCTCAACTTCAGTTGTCATTTTGTATTTACCACTGCTTACTAATCTTTGTGGCTTTGAATTTTTATCAGACATGTGCGGCTCATAATGCCCAGCCTCTAATGGTGCACAATCTAAAAAAATAAATATTTTATATAATTATATATTATGCATGCAGATATTTATTTAATTTTAAATTTCTAGTTTTAAAAAATAAATTTAAAGTTTCTTTACCAGCTTGACAGAGATATGAAGCTCAAGATTGTTTTCTCCAGTTTTTTTTAATACTTGGGTATCTAAATTAAATTCTTGGGTTTATTTTTGTTTATACCGGTACTTCCTCAAGCTAGCTTTATTATTATTATTATCTGCATTACTTAAATTGAAGGATATGTAATTAATTTTTTAAATGTCAAAGGTAATAACTGTTTAAAAATTAAATGATTCAAGTTTAGCTGGACACTTGTAAAGGTAGGGCTTATCCTGAAAGTGAAATCTACATTTTACTTCACCAAGTATGTTATTTCTGTAAACTAATGATTAATAAACATCAATAGACTAATCAATAAAATTTATGTTTTTTAAATTTTGTAATGGAAATAACCTTAAACCTCTTGAGACGGAGCCTTTTTGGACTGTCTATGCCAAAAAGACAAAGCCCTTCCACAAGTTGTGCGCTTACTTTGTAAAAAAAATAATTAAAAAATTAACTAATTACTTTACAAATATAAAACTGTATATATTCTTGTAGAGAATCTAACTGAAATCTCAGCATTTTTGCAAATGAGACAGCCTGATTTGCATAATTTATGCATGCATTTTTTTTCACTTAGAATAAAATTGTCTTACTTGAAGAATTTTAAAAATATTTTTATTGTTGAAGCCTAACTAAGTCCCTATCCATATCTGAATGAGATTCAATATGAAAAGCAGCATAAAATATTCCCCTGAGACTGTTATGCCTTTTGTCCTATTTCAAGTTTCAAGGTCACATATTTTTTTAAAGCATTTATAGGGGTCATTTGGTACACACACTAAAAGAAATTGAAATGATAGAATGTAAAACATCAATGGAAGCCGCCATTGAAATGTAGAGATCAGCAAGAAATGCTAGAAACAATCTGATAAGCTGGTTGGAAGACCAGCTAGCCAAAACTTGAGGCTTTTTTTTTATGTGCCTTTTGTCTTTTTAGCCATAACACATGATAGATCGACCCAGCCATCTCAAGAGGGTTAATGCTTTTCTATATCTTCTTAATCAAATATACACAGCTCCTTTTCACTTAATAACAAAATACTTAAACTACAGGGGTTCTTAACCTTTTTTACTCCATGGACCCCTTAGTCTTAGCACACCAGATAAAGTCAAAGACTCTTTGCCAGTCGGCCAGACATGTTCTAAAAAAAAATTTTAATTGCATTTTATTGAATTAAAAGGGGAAATGCATCCCTGACACCTTTTCATGAAATACCATACCATTGGGGTCCATGGACCATAGGTTAAGAGCCTCTGATTTTAAGAAATATAAACATTATGACTGACAATTTTTTTTTAAATAGTTTGGTCTTGATTTACTTACAAGACAAAACGTGCCATGGACTCCATTTAGTTTTTATTTGATCTGTAGGTTTAATCTTCTTAAAATACTTCTCTATTAACAGTACCACAGATCTATTTGCTTAATTAAAAATGTTATTTTTGTCTTGGGGCACTTTGATTTAGATAGTCGAAAATAAAAACTGTTTATGCTTAAGTCCAATAGCTTTGAAGCAAGCATCTCACTTACGTGAATACATCCACATATTGAAGCCTTCATCTCTCATGTCTAGTTTAGGTACAGGATACTCATAATTGTTGAATGGTGCTTGTTGCGTAAATGATGGATTTGTCACCCTGGAGGAATGGTCATAGTACCCGAAAGGGTACCTTACAGAAGTATCCAAATGGTGAGCATAATAAGAAGGCCAAAAGCCAGGTTGAAAATAGGGAGGGAGGGCACTGGTTATTGTAGCAGGAGTAGAATGGTTAAAGGGTGCTGTAGCAGGTAAGCCCTTGTCACTGCTATAAAATTCACATGAATATTGAGGATTCATTAAAGAATTCAAACCTTGTTTGTAATCAGAAGATGGGTCTGGTATGCTTACAGTGACATATGCATCCAGTGAAGTATGATTATCACTAACATTTTTAACAACATCTTCAATATTTATGGAGCACGATTTTATAAATTTATTAATTTTTTCAAGGGATTCCTGGGTGCCAAATGATGATGCAGGTAAACAGAGCTTTCTTAAAAGTAAGGGGGAATGCCTATCTTGGTTTTCAACATTGGAAACATAATAAGGATGAGCTGATCCCTGATGTAAATCATTAATATGCAATGGCCAATCTCTGTTCTGCGTGCCATAGATAGGATTATATGGATATGCTGGTGCATGATATCTTAGGTCAGGTGGTGCTACTTGCTTAGGAGTTGGCCTCTCTTCACACTCACTTTGAGAACATAGCTCAGCTTCATAATCACTATTTTGTTCAGATGAGCAGCTATTGAATTCAGAAGAAGATTTAGAGCATACTTTGTCAAAAGTATTTTTGGATTGTGCAATGAGATTAACATTAGATGTTTTTTCTTCTACTGAAGAAATGGTATTCTTTGTTGTGAGACTTGGCTGACATTCATTATCCACCTGAGCTGGGAGGAAAGTATCATCTTCACCAAAATGTTCCCTTGTTAGATACTGAATATCTTCACCTGAATAGCTATGAGACGGTTCAACTTCATTCTGCATACTATTTGAAATTTGCATCTTCTTTTCACCGCAAATGTCCTGCGCTTGCATGTCGAGTACTTCTGGATTTAATGAATCTTTAGAATCATGCCCTGCTAATGTTTCTGTTTGGCTGTCAGCTTCAGAACAAGTATTCAAGGCCCCCTCTTGATTGTTAGACTCCTCTTTCAATGGGCTCTCATCTTTCTTTTCAACTGACCTTTTGTTTGCATGTAAACTATTTGATATAGGTAATTCACTTGACATAGTTTTAACTTTATTTACCTTATTAATGATGTCTTCTGATTTATAACTCTTGAAAATATCACTAATGAGACAGTTGACTCTATGCAAATCTTTGTCACTTTCCCGGTGTTTAGCTATGTTCTTGCACCCATCATTAGAAACCAGCTCACAATCTCTAGAACTTTTCACTGTCTTATCTAGTACCTCTTCAGACAAAGCTCCATCTGAAACTCCTTGATCCTGCATTTTTTGTGTGATTATTATTTTAGAACTGCCATCGATAACTTTATCTTTAGAATTTGGTGTCAAGTATTTCTGACTCTCCTGACAATGTTGATGCACCAGGGGCAGAGTTTTTTTGCATCTTGTAACAACTTTTTGACTGTTGTTTGATTTATCCATTTTGTTGGAATGTGTGGATTGCTCATTATTTTTATTGAATTTAAAATCATGGCGTAAAGGAGTGAATCTGTTATGTTTCTGATGATTAGAATTGCTATGATGATTAGAATTGCTATAACTGTTATTATCTGCTGACCTATTTTTCATGTATGGCTTGTTTTCTCTGGACCAACTGGAATTGCCATAATTGTTACAATCTGTTGACCTATTTTTCAAACATGGCTTGTTTTCTCTGGACCAATTGGCTTTGCCATAACTGTTACAATCAGCTGACCTATTTTTCATATATGGTTTGTTTTCTCTGGACCCATTGGCATTGCCATAACTGTTATAATCTGTTGACCTATTTTTCATACATGGCTTGTTTTCTCTGGACCAGCTGTTGGAATTGCTATAACTATTATTATCTGTTGATCTATTTTTAATATATGACTTGTTTTCTCTAGACCAACATGTACTTGGTTTAACATACTGTTCTGAATCATTAGAACGCATTGAAAATTTCTTAGTCGTCTGCAAGACTCCTGGATATTCTGAGATTTCTTCAAAACAACCATTCAAATCATTACTGTTCCTTCTTCTGAAAGCTTTTGAACCAGCCATGGTTTCTTTGCTATTATTGTTAAAATCAGATTTTTTATGACCCTTACTTTTGCAATCACTTTGCTCTCCTCTATGAACCTCTTGTGCTGCAGTTCTAAGTTTTTCAGGTAATATATTCCTTTCACTGCAAACAGATAAACCTGACACATATTTATCAGATTTATTTAATGAGATTCTGACTGAAATATGTCTTTCTGTATTCTTTTCAACAACTTCTTTCTGAGAAGCTTGGCACTCATTAAATTTGACTTCATTAGAACACAAATCTGAATCAAATGTGTCCTGGCATGTTTCTTGACCTTGAAGTAAATCTGGAAGTTTCATAGATTCAGTTAAGTCTGCAGATCTCTGTCGCCGTCTACCTGGCTTACAATTGCCTTCACAGTCAACTAACTCAGATGACAATGTACTTGTAGCATGTGGATCATTTTTAATCATTCTCTCAAATATAACAGACTTTGCATTGTTGTAATGAGTATATTCACCGGTCGAAAAAAGTTGTTCATCTGTTTTTGAGAATGGAGAAGCTATGTTGGGATCACCATTATTTTGACCAGATTGTCCGCCTCTTCCATTATCTGCCTGTTTAGTAGCATTACCAGATAGCAGTTTACCATTCTTGCCATGGTCAGCATCCTCCATTTTACAGTTTATTAAATCATTAGCATGATTATTTTCCTGCATTAACATATTCCCATCCACCAGATGCTTGGAATTTTCACTTGACAAAGCTTTTGCAAGTGAATGCTTAAATATCCTTGTTTGTCCCAGGGAGGCTGGTTCTCTACTCATTATAAATTTTTTAAAAATATGTCTAGGCTTATAGTTTAGCAGGAACCTGTTTTAAAGGCTTTTTGATGCTTCCAATGAAATGATTCCTTGAATTGAGATAAAATGGTATCCTTAAAATATTTGGTGATTATGGCTATGGAATTCAAAACGTTTAAAAAAAACCTACACAACTTTTAAGTCTAAGGCAATTTATGAAGGTAGGCCTACATCTAAAAGGTCTTCTAGGACACAACTGGTTTGGCACTATAATTAGGAAAGAAAATAATAAACATATTTAATGTTTTGTCTTATATTATATTTCGCACTATAAAACTCTAATAATTATAGAAGCCAATGAATGATTTAAAAAATTATCATAATCTTAGAATTAAGGTAACAGTAATAAGCTTCACTAATGTTTTTATAAGAGTGAAGACAGAACATAGACTAAAATAAATAAATGAATCTAGGCCTATGTTTAATATACGGTGACCAGACACCCTGGTTTACCCAGGACAGTCCCTATTTTTCCATCACCCGTCCCAGCATCCCCAAAAGGTCAGGAAATATCCCGGCCTGAGGTATTTTCCAACAAACTCATTTTCCCCGTTCTCAGACAGGGACAAATACTTCCACTGTAAGAATCTTCTCATGTGGACACCAGATAAATCGCAAATGAAAGTTGATACATTGAAACATTTACCATGCTGATTGTCAAATGCAATTTCAGTGATTAATGTGACAAGTTTGAGTTTGATGATATGTTATTGCTATTTTTATCCTGAGAGCTATCCACTCATCTCAGAAATATAAGTCATGATTATGAAATTAATAAGTACATTTCGCTTGTTTATGCTTCATATTTCTGACATATATCGGATGTGTCAATTTATTAATATTTATTTAACAACATGTCGATTGGCTGTAGTTATTAACTCACTGACTAGATGTTTTTCCTGTTATATGAATATGAACATTAAAAAAGTGACATGTTCAATCTCAAAAAGTATTAATAATCTCTTCACACAACACTTCTGGTACTTTTCTACTTGGTTGTTCACAAATATTTCAAGCGTGATTCCTGATTAACACAATGTTAAGTAAGTTTCGCTACTTTTATAACATACCAAACTGAGTACAGGCATAGAAGGCCTTACTATTATAATTATATGTACACTAAAGACTAATGAAGATGTTCTTTGCCCTTCAGAATAGCATGTTTTTCAGTCAATTTTCACAAACCATGTTTGGCTTTGTGGAGGGAATCCCCCTCCAACCCCCATCCCAGGTTACCCCAAAAAATCTGGTCACCATATTTAATACAATATATAATTTATAAATAATATAATTTACTTTAAACTTTTAATATACAATATGAATATGACAATACTCTTAAATGAAAATGTCATGGGTGTCTTTTTAAAAAAATTATTTGAGCGGACATAATAGTGATGATAATGTAACATTGACACTAAGATTATTGATTAAAATCTATATTATAAGCCTATTTAATTTTGGCTTTGGGCATACCAAATTATGTTATTTATGCTGCTATTAAAAATATACTAGTCAAGTCAAGCTGAAATCATTTACATGGTGACATCATGGTCATGATTACTAATCGGATTGACCGGCCTAAATCATTTCAAAGTCACAAAGTCAACAAGTGAGTCAGTGACTAACTACTTCGGCCACCACTAGTGACGACTACTTCTACATCTACTGACTGGCAGTGAATGATACTACTGATGAGAATGAGTCTGGTACATATGTCTCATATGTCATATGTCGATGTCGTCAGAAAGTGACTGAATCAGATTTTCATCTCAGTGAATCCAAAATAAACTTAATATTTTACTTTTAAATAGGTCATCCTAGCATCTAGTGAAGCATGATTTGTTTAAAGATGACAATAGAACTACCATTTCTTTACCTAAGTAATTTGTGTTGAAGATAATATGATTTTATCCATGAACTAAATTTAACTGTCACCCTTCCAAGTCACAATTACATTATTCTAAGCGCAATGTGTGTCTGAAAAACGGATATGTCAGATATTTTTAGAAGTTATAATGCATTTAATTATTTTAACTCAAACTTCTACGATTCTTATTCCTTGAATCTTGGCTAACATAAATGAATTTCTTTGTTGTTAAAATTCAATTAACATAAAACATAATTTTTTTTAATAGAAAGAAAAATATATATTAAAAATTCATGGCATTTAAAAATTTGGAAAATATATTTTTTTTTAAAATTGGGCTACTATATTCTCGTATTACTGAGAGATGCATTTGTATAAATAGGCCTAAAATTAAAATCTCACTTAATGAAAATTACTCATTTATTCTTTGTCTGTTGTTTATTTTAATTTTAATTTTGGAAGGGGAGGTACAAAAATGTCTTTTTCTGAAAATATTTATATAAGAAAATATTTATTAGTTAGCCTGCAGTTGACTGATGTATGCAATAATAATCAATATACTGCACCCTCTGTTTGAAAATATATGGGAAGAAGAGAGTTACAAATGTTCGGATATGTTAATTCTGTTTCATTTCGTTAACCCTTGACCTGAAATATCTTTCTTTATCCTATTGTCTTTTGTTGCTTTAGGGCTTAATGAATTGTTTACAAACGATACTATGAGCGATTATGTATGATCTAGTTAAGAATAACTCTGTAAATGTCCGGTGGGTGGGGGAAGGGGTTCGGGAGGGGGGACACAATGAGTTTTCCGCACCGGGTGACAACAACGTTATCAAGTGACACCGTGCTCTAGTGACATGCTATTCTGCTGGTATCATGTTATTGTAATTAACTGAGTTCTGTTACGAAACTGATTCGAGCGTAGACTGTAAAAGTTGCATTTTCCATTTGGTGCTACCCACTTCTGGTCTGGAGTCATCAGTGCCCTCGAATTTTCCCCCACCCCGATGAAAATGACATTGAGGGCACTTTTTTATTTTTAACTACAAAAACAACAGCACTCTACAGTTAATAATTAAGAGGATTTTTTTGAAGTGACAAATATATTATTTTCTTTTAATTCTTCTTCTTCTTCTTTATATGAAGGGCCCACGATAAATGTATTGATCATTTTGGCTCTTATGCATGTAGAGGAGATTTGCAATGTTTCTGTGTCTGGTGTTGATGGGGATATTTCACTGATTGCAAGTGCTACTTTGTGAGGGAACCATGCACTAGGGATTGGAAGGCTTGAGGCAATAGATGCAAATGTGTCGAGTGTTGTCGCCTCAACTGTTCCTTTTGAAAGCTTGTTCCAGTCCCTGATTGTCTTTGGCAGGAATGAGCAGTTCCTATACTATACTGGCTTCTTGCTGGTATGAGCCAGAATAGCCTGTCATGGCCTCGTCGCTGTCTATGGGGGAGAGGGACGACTTTCTGTTTAATACTGTAACAGTGGGGCTGGAAAAATATGCCACCCGGCGCGGACCATAAAATATGATTTTGGCGCCCATTGTGAAGTGCCGGTAATTTTATAGTTTAATTCACTATTAGGGTCCTATATAAAGATTATTTTGGCCCACTCCTAATTTTGGCTGCTGGGACTGTCTCCTCTTTCACCCCACCCTTGCATGGCCCTGAATGCACTGTCCAGTGACGTAGCTAGGGTTAGTGCCACCTTGATGGGTCAATATTTTATCCCCCTTCCACGATAAAAAAATATGTAGTTGGTTGAAAATGTCACCCCTCCATAAAAAGAAAAAAGTGCCACCTGGGGTGTACCGCTCCCCTTCCAACGCAAATGACATTGCCCACCCGAATATCTAAAATCCCCTCCTCTTCTGGAACAAATTTTCTAAATGAAACATTGCATGTCTGTGTGCTACAATGGTCTTCTAGCAGCTAACTGGTTCATATTGCCACAATAAATCTCTTTGCACATAAT